TTCCATCTACAGTTGATTGTTGATGCAAAAACAGTGTCTTAGGGTGAACTGTAGTTCATAAGGGAGATTTCCTGTCATCTTAGTGACTTTTCTTATACTTAAAACCACAGAGGATAATTTTATAAACTTCTCATTTATTTTCAGCATCTGCTTTAAGTGTTTGTGTAGTTGAGGGGTGAGGGAAAAACTGATGTCAGTAAGTGCTAGATTCATAAATGTTCTTTCTTTTTTTTAAAGTAGGGGGTTTTTGTTGTTCATTCTTCCTCTATCATAATTCTCAGGATGAGCTAGTGACTGGGATGATTCCTCTTCAAATATGTTACTTAGAAATATTTTTAAAACACTTCCCCCTTAAAAAAGCTTCATAATCTGCAAGTTGAACTTCTTTTTACCAGATAAGATAAAAGAGGTTGAGCATGGTGATGCACTGACCTCTGCTGGCATCATCCTTTCTTACTGAAACTCCTTTTAAATGCTGAATTTGATACTCCAGAAAATAGATAACACATCTGAGACAAGATCTGAGGCAGAATCAGCTCACGATGAAGTCACATTCTAATGCTACATTGAATCTAGCACTATGACTCTTTAACCAATCCACACAGTGCTGATTTCCTAAAGAAACCCTCAATCTTATGTTTTAAATAAGCTGTAAGAGTTGGATGATTTCTTTTGTAACTGCAGGCTCTGAGTTAGACCGGGTATTGGCTGTCTGTCCTTCTGTGGCAACATATGGCTGAGATGTGTGCAATGTCTCTGTCAGATGCTCTGGCTTGGATGGACTGTGTGCCCCTGCCTGACTCCAGCCTGCTCTGTAGTGCCATATCACCCTGAGCCAACAGGAACCATCAGGCACATCTGTTCACCCACTGTTGGCCTGTGACAGTGACCTTCTCTGCAACCCCTGAAGCAACTGTGACCAAGTAGCTCCCATTAATGCTGCATCTCTCCTGGAGATGGGGTGCTAGTTGCCAAAAGCATTAAAGGAAGCTGGTGGAGAGAAATGGCAATTTCAAGGCTGTTGTCCCTCTGAGTTTAGTTTGGGATGGAATGACTTACTCTCTAGAAATTGCTCTCTTCTGTAGTCCCTGCTCTGTGGCTCTGATCCTCCTCTGATGGAAATTACTTCCAGGTGGCAAGCCAGGTTTGGTTCAGATGAAACTCCAGGTGATACAAAGAACTGATGGGTAAAGCAATCAAAACACTGCTAAGGAACATAATACTCTCAGGAAACTGAAGACTGTGTGCAGGGAGGAATGACCTGGGGACATGGTTATGTGGGACATGGTTATGTGAACTAGGAAACTGAAGACTGTGTGCAGGGAGGAATGACCTGGGTTATGTGGGACATGGTTATGTGAACTGTGGCTGTCCTAGTACAAGGAACTTTCCTTTACTGTTTGCCCACACAAGGACTAAATACCTCAGAATTTACTGTCTAGGAGATATCTGTACTCCTTTCCAGTTTTCTGGGGGCACCTGCATGACACGTGTGTATTTAAGAAATTCCCTAGAGACTTCTAGGCTTACTGAATAACTGTAGGAAAATCCATGAATCCATACCTTGTTAGTACTCCTGTCAGTCTGCACACATTTCAAAGTGAACCTATGCCTGTTGCCTGTGGGCTAACCTTTGGAAATAAATTTTTAAAGTAGAGTGGAGAAAGAAACAAGTTCCCCAGCCCTTGTTTGTTACATAGTGAGCAAAATGGTTGGCTTTTGTTTTGGAAGGAGACCTGCCTAATTGAGCTGAGAGGAACAGGAATATGAAGGTACATGCCTGCTCAGGTGCTGCTCAAAGAGGAGGCTGAGCCTCAGCTGCTCTGTCAGAATATGAGTCATGTTTTTATTTGTATTTTTCTGAGCCTGAATTGAGAAAGCTTGTACAAGAAATTTTACAGCCCTTGACATCACTCTGCACTTTTGCAAGACAATAGCCTGACATTTTGCCCTAGGTGTTGGATTAAATAGTAACTGGAGATTGTGCAAATACTTCTCTTAGCCACAATTATCATGCCAAGGTGTTGCACAAGCTGGGGACTTCTGCGGCTGGGGTGGTTACTCTAACGTGTGACATTAAGATAGCAGCTCTGTATGTCTGTCTGTCTGTCTGACTGCATCACTGTTGCTTGGTTTCTTTTTGAAAACACTGGTAGAAAGCCCACACAGGAGGACCTGAGGGAAGAACCCCATCCTGACCACCAATGCTTGCCATCGGGGTGAATCTGGGTGGTACACAGAGTCCACACTGAGCACAGGCAAGCTGCAAGCACACCACTCTCCTGCTGTACACCAGCATTTTGACACAAGTTTATCACTGGTTTTGGTTCTCTAGGGTGTCACACTCCAGTAAGCACGGCAATGAAAAAGAACACAGACTTCTGCATAAATGTTCTTGCACAGTTGTATTCTATATTTCCTTTAAATTGCCCTCTTCTAAACTCTGTGAGACCAAAGGGAGTTGAGACCGTAAGAGCAAACAAACTTGCATTTCTCAACCTCGTGCTAATAGTTGCAAGGCTGAAATCATTTGGGGATTTTTTGCTTACACAATAGCTGAGGTCTCTTGGGTGAAGAGTGAGTTTCACGTGTTCTGATACCTGATATGCTCGCAGAAAATTTTTTATCCTTTTAGGACCATTGTTTTCCCCTTCACCCAGCCCTGCAGTGATTTATTAGCTTTAACTAAATAATCTCACCATCTCTTTTCAAGCTGTAATACTAGGAATGTGGCACCAGCACTTTCCTTTCTCAGCAGTACACCTAGTGGGTAAAATATAAATGCAGGGACAGCAGAACTGTGTTCCCCTTTTAGCTGCCCACTTGTTCTCCAGCTGCTAACTTTTGGCTCTTGCATGGTGGTATCTTGTGACCTCTTTTCCTCACAGTTGCCTTACAGTGCTCATGTGAGCCACTGTGGGTGACTGTTTTAAATTTATCATACTTCCTCCCACAGGCAAAAAAAATTTCAATGTCTTTGGCTGCCTCTGTCCTGAGGTTCTTCTCTTGTGGTTGTCCAAACTGGGGGACCTGCTCAAGCCCCTTGTACAGGAATGAGAAGCACAGAGATCTGTGTGCCTGAGACAGGTCTGGAACACTCTGAGAGACAGCTGTGATCCCCAAGTAGTAGGCATGGTCCTTGCAGATCACAGGATCCACTGGGAGAGAGCAGGTTTGGAAAGGAGCAACCTGACATGTATGAGGCTGAGCTTTTGCATCCCTTGGTTGACTGTATGAAGGAAAGCAGGTGTTATGAAAGATGACTGAGATGATCATCAATGAAAAGGAAAGGGACAAGCAGCAGGAAGAAAAAGGGGGTTGGAGACTATGGTCAAACCACTGAAAAAATAAGGGCACCTGAAATGTGAATCTTTAGTAATGTGGTGTCCTTAGTAAGGAGGTAGAAATCAACCAGAAAGCTTTGGTAGCAGTATGTCTCTGTTTGAGCCAATCTGAAGAAGGTTACATGGTGGGCATGCTAGATGTGTTCCTTTCCCCCTGTTGACTTCAGAGGGTTGTTAGCTTGTATCCAGAAGCAGTTGGGAAGAAAGAAAAGATACCATGGAAGGAGAAGCAGATGTATGGAAGCTTACACCCTATCTGCTTAAAAGATACCCAAATTAAAAACTCATGTTAGTCTGGCTAACTGCATGTCCTACAAGTCTAGGACTGTTTGATTCTAACTGTGTTTGCCCTTCTAATTCTGTTTTTCTGGTCACATCTCCTGGCCTGGAACGTGGCTGCAGCCTCAGAGCACTGCTGGGGCTGTAAGAGCCCTTGCAGGAGTCTCCTTTTCAACCTCCTGCCAAAGCCAGGCAGGAGTGGGATGCGATGGGATGGGATGGGATGGGATGGGATGGGATGGGATGGGATGGGATGGCTGCTCAGGGCTTGGTCCACTTGGTGCTGCAACACAACTACAAGAGGAGATGCAGCAGGGTTTTAGATGTAAAGGGCTACAGATGTTTAAAGGTGAATCCCCAGGACCCTCTCAGACAGGGCACCAGCAGCAAATACACCCTGCGGTGTACAGCCCTCGGCAAGGCTGTCAGCCCCCTCTACCTAAGGCAGTAGTAAGAAAGTGAAAAAAATCCCCTTTCTTGAACCTTCTGCCCTCTTGGTCTGTGGATGTGGCACTTGGGGACATGGTTTAGAGGTAAAGATGGTATTGCTGGGCTAAAGGTTGGACTCAATGATCTTAGAGACCACTTCCCCAACTTTAATGATTCTAGGATTCTATGTGACCTCCACAAGAGGCAAGCAATGTCCATTCCTTTTCCTTTGGCCTAAAACCCAAGGGTCTGTTAGTCAGCTTATCAAAATGTTGAAGAGAGGCTGTTTTTAAGAAACTTATGATGTAGTTGATAAGATTTTGCATCAATTCAGCTTGTGGTTTAAAAACTAATTGTGGGTAAGAAAATAGGAAGAAAAACTGTACCAGATTAGGCAACTGCATAAATCATTTCCCTAAAAAAAAATTCCCTTCCTCTTATAAAAACCCCAATCCCAAACCTAACAAGTAAAAAAAAACATACCAAAAAGGAAATAACTCTCCTAGGTGCCAGGTCCTATTTCCTGTAAACCATCAATTGATTGGTTTTGTGTTAACCTCCTTTCCCCACTATCTGAGCCCTGACCTTCCTTTAAATATGGTGCAGAGACTGAAAATATGGGTCAAACCCTGTAGGCTGATACAAAGTTTTGTCTACATCAGAGGACCTGAGGACCATTTCAGGATCAGAAATAGTTCAAATACATTTAGAGCAATGTCTAAATTTTTAGTTGATGGTTCTTATCACACCCATGAACTTAGTGAAATTCTTTCTAGCACAGCTGTTCATATAGAAAAGTCAGTAAGTGCAACAATGAGCAATGGGTGTGACATCATGTTCTTCACTTGTAACCAGGGAACAGGAAAAACTTGCATTTCAACTTGCCACAAATGTCCTTGCTTCCTGTAGCTTCTAACATGTGTGCTGTAAAAAAATGTGTTTGTATGCTCCTGTATTACTCAGCTTTATTAATATAAATTGATTAGTTGCCCCTGCCATGATGATTTCAGGTAAACTAGACATGGAGGTATATAACTGAAAGAAAAAATTTCAGCTTTGTTTTTACAGAAAAACCTGTCAATCAGGAACACCCTAGTTCATGGAAAAGCCAATTGTGAAAACAGTCTTCACACTTAAGTCTTGTGTAGGATTTTTTTTTTTTTGTAAGAGGCAATGGATTTTTTCCCTGGTAAGGCATGGTGTGGTTCCAAGAGTCTTACTGCATCTGCAGTTCAAGAGAAAGAAAATTGCCATGGAAAATGAAACATGAAAACTACTACAGTCAGGTGGGGTTTGGTCACTGCTAGAGCTTCTCTGTGTCTTGCTTGTGACACTCATGCGGACAGCTGCTGAGCTCCCAGTGCATTGGAATGGCTTCTTACCACTGCTTTTAGTGGAAGGTGGTTTGTTAACATTTTGGAGCTTGGCAAATCTGCTTTTATGGCCAGACAATTTTGCAGGCTGCATGTTCTACACAGTGATAGCACACACTCTAATTAAAAATGCTATGTGACAACTTGAAGGGTATTTATTATACTATGATAGAGTTTTAAGATGGGTTTATTTAGTGTATGTCTGAATACCAATTAATTAGCTTGGGCCAAAAAAACCCATATCATAAACTCTTGGTGGGAAAAGTTAACTGGAATGTTTGTATGAACCCTTCCAGCAAAACTGCTATCCTGGGTGTGCAGGAGTGGGACTACCCTGGTAGCTGCAGCCTTTGTGCAATTTTTCACCTCTGCATTCCTGACACAAGTACCAGTGGAAAACAACCTACCAATGGACAGTGGGATTGAGGAGATGTGGATAGGAAAACAAAAAAGGCACAGTAATATGTATCAAGTACTTTATAAATGACTGTGCTATTAATTACTGCCCTGTGGTAGTATGGGAGGTCAACATGGTGCTTTGTTATCCTGCAATAAAATAAGTACATGTAATAAGAGATTAAGTACTTAGGTTATCTCTCCCCTTGGGAAACTGATACAATTTACTGTTGTAGATTTTAGCATCTAATATTAGTGATGTTTGACCCAGGCTGACATCCTGAGCTCAGCTTCTACCGGCCCTGCATCTAAATCCTTTGTCATGGATGACTTGTGCTGTTTGCAGAGTGAAGTTCTGTTGGAAGATGAACATTTACTGCAGATCACTGCAGATCATGCCTGCACTGTCCGAGACATCCATCCTTGCCTGGTTTTCCTATTGTGCCCCAGTAGGTGTGAAATGCAGGCAGAGGTCAAAAAGAAGCACCAAGTCTATGAAACTGTGACAGATACAGCTCTGCAGGGCACAGAATAGGACTGGTTCTGCACTGAGGATGCAGCTTATCTGATCTGTATCAGCTTGTGAGTCATTGTTGCTGAAGCATGGACTTTAAAAGGTCTTGCTCCATAGCAGGTTATGGTTGACAGTACAAATCAGCAATACACGGGGGGAAAAGAACTCATCACCTTTAGAAGAATATTCAGTTATTTCCCAGCAATCCATTATCAACCCAAGGTGACCAAGGGTTGATAAACATGAGAACCACAGGAGTTAAAGTCTGGACGGCTTAAAGACCCAGACATTGTTGCCTCCAACCTTTGCCCCATACTGTAAATTTGTCCTGAAGGACATGGGAGCCGAATTTTCACAGGTGATCACAGGAAGAAAGTGCGATGCTATTTATGGTGCTGAAGGACACATGACTCACTCCCTCAGCTTCATCAAAGTGATGAATTTAAGCACAAAAAGAGTCCTTCCTCCTCCTCCCCATCACGTGCCACCCAGCTAGAAGATGCACACAGGAAAGACATGGACAGGGAACAGTGTCTTGATGGTCCTGCTTTTCCCAGGGCAATGCTTCAGCTTCACCCTGCCCAGGCAGCTGCCTCTGATGCTGAACTGAGAGCTGCCTTTGTGGATGAAAACTGTGAGTCTGTAGTCACATCACCTTCTCCAGGGATTGGGACATCAGAGTAGAGGGCTTTGTTTCTGACCTGTTCCAATTAAGAAAAAAAGACAGAGATTCATGCAGGACAGGAAATTCCCACAAGTTTGAAGGGTTAGATAACAAACTAATGACAAAGGGAGGAATGAGGAGGTTTTCTTTGTACCTGTAACTTGAAATCCTTTCTAGTGGATGGGAATGCATTTAATTTTTTGTGTCACCCCAGCTTCTCTGTTAGGTTGTAGCAACAGTTCTCTTCAAGCCCAGTTCTCTTCTTGCTCATGGTTTCTCAGATGCTGTGTCTGAGGAGAGAGTTTTGTTTATCTCCCCCTTAAGTTTCCCTTCCTAGTAGAACATTATGAGCAGTTCTCCTGTGCATGTTGGAAGGGCTTTTCTTACCTTGTTTGGCTCCTTGTTAGTGCCAGACATGAAGTAAGCTGGCTGTACCAAAAGTATTTTAGGGTGTTTTAACTCTTCTTATGAATAATGATGTAGTTAAGTTGAAATTAAAATCTTGCTTGCTTCTGTTTGAGAGGAACATTATTTTGTCTGCATCTTGATCCATGCCCACTGAAGCCTCTCTTGTATTGGTGGGAATGGATCAAAATGGAAGAATTTGAGGATTTTTTTTCTGCATGTTTTTCTGTTTTAAAAATTTCAATTAAAATTTTCACTAATAAAATTCAACTCTATTTTTTCCTCTCAGCAACACTGTACCCCATGTCTAACCACGCCAGTAGCATTTTTACCAGCCACTGAATTTTACCACTGGCTTTGCCTGTTGCAAATAATGCCAGGGCCGTTTCTTCATGGTGGAATTGGCACATTGTAATGTGTTTGGGCAACCTAAATCCCACCCCAATGCTTCTGCCTAAGGTTTCCGGCCAGCTGGTGCCAGATTATCAGAGACACATCACTGACATGCAGCTCCATGCACAGGGACCAAGCACAAGAAGGGCTCCAGACCACCTCCCATCCTCATAAAATCCTGCCCACAGCATTGCAAGGTTGAGTAGCCATTGTGGTCTCATAACTCTAGAAGCAAACACAGACAAGCAGTTCCAAACTCTCAGCAGGTTTGGGCTGCATTTTTCTTCCCAGGTCTTTTTATTACCCAGAGTGACCTCCCTGGTGCTGCAAGCTGCCTCCTCGATGATTCCCCTGCTCTTAGGACACATCATGGCTGCTGCCCCTAGATATACAATCTCCTCTCAGAAATATTAAGCTGTCTGTTTGTTCCAAAGCCAGAAATTAGGTGAAGGTTGAGAGGACTTATCAGTAAGTCAGGACAGGGACAAATACACACATTGCCCAAGGCGTTGGACACGTCCTCAGAACAAACACCCCAAATCCAGGCAATTCCGTTAAAGCTGTTTACATGCTTAGTGGTATTTCTGTGCATTACAGCATAGAGTAAAGGTGTTCCATATCTGAAAATAAAAAACTGGGTTGGAAGACAAAAGTCTCATGCAACATCTCAAATACTGAATATTTTCAAATGAATGTTATAAACCTCTAATTCATCTGAACAAATCAACTGATTTCTCTTAGACTGAGAACATCACATTTTGGTATGCCAAAGTGTTTAAATATATAAAGTCCACTTTAAAGCTCTATGACTGCTGCCTCTGTGACTAACAAACCAGAAATTTCACTCTGACCCACAGCTATAAATCAGACCTGCACTTCCATCAATCCCCACACAGATGTATCTGCCTGTTTTGACTCACTCAGATGCTACCAGCTTCAACCTCTTCAGTACTGAATGCTTCAAAACTGATAAGCTCCTTCTGGGTAAGTTCTTTGTCTTTTGAGGTCTGTCTCATCTTTTTAATGCAGACATTTATTTTGTGAGGAGGGTAAATCTTGGGCTTTTTCATGCCCTGCTTCCTCATCTTGAAATTTGCTTATTATTTCTGCAAATACTGATAAAAGTTATCCTTGCCTTGACTGTGCCTCAGAAGACATGCTTATTAAGGGCTTTAATCATATGCTGATTAACTTCCTGTCATTGGTTTATGGAATTCCTAAATCCCTCCTGAGAGATTGTGATCTCAGAACTAAACCAAGAGCAACTCTCTTGACATCTCTAGTAATTCCAGTACAAGCAAAGAACCAAGACATAAACTCAGACTTGAAAGGGTAGGAATTAAAAGGGTTTGCACAGGGCTAGAGATTTCCTGATAGAGTATTTCTGTTGAGGTGAGACCTGCAAGATCATATCCATATCACTCAGCAGACACTTCACATTGCTAGGGTGTAAAGTCCTGTGTTAAGGCCCTCAGAATAAAAAGTGGGATTTCAGTTTCATGGTTCTTTTTGAGTTTTCTGTTACTCATTTCAAATCCACAACCAAAGAGCTTTTAATTTTTTTCTTTCCACAGTTATGTTTTGCCTTTTAGTCCATGCAATTTCACACAGGTTTGTTTCACAAGACTGGAACCATGTCCGGCTGTACTATATTCATCATGGTAGTATCCAGAGACGGTCTGACCGTTGTTTTGTCACACCTTCATAGTCTTAACTTTCTAAGAAAATGAAGAATTAAAGTTGTCTTTGATTTTTACTCCTAGCCTTTTCTTATTGAAATACTTTCCTACTTATTTCATTCCAGGAAGGGCACAATAACACTTCTCTGTAACTGTTCTCAGCTATTGTGGTGGTGCAAAACCACACAGCCATCAAATAGTGTCTTTTCTTTCCTACCTTCTCCTTTGCTTTACTTCATTCCTTTTGGCATTTCATCCTTTTTGTGCCAAGCTACAGCTTGGTCCACATCTATTCTGCATCTACTGGCAGCTAGTTTTGTGATACTCTGTAAGACCTGATATATAAACAGCAGCCTGGACTGGTACATATAACTGTAAGCATCTCCCTGAAGCCCAGGCAGCCCTGCTGTCCTGGCATGGAAATGACTCATTTAGCTGACTGTTAACTTGTTAACAGCAAGTTTTGCTCTGTACATATACACTGCTCTGCCTCGTGCAAAAACTAGTTGGTGGAAAAAGCCTACCTGGAAAATACATCCTTGCATTAAGAAGCACAACACTGCAGCAGCCTGAAGTATTGCTGATCCTGACTGCAGTACAATCCCAGAGCACTTCCATCACAGCTCCATTGTAGATGACACTCTAGGAAAGCTGCCCTGTGGAGAAAGAGGAGCTAATCTTCTCTATCCATTCTTTCAGTTGGAGTTTCACCTCACCATTCTTTACTTAGGGAACTGTGTGTTTTAGTGTGCTTGTGGAACATTAAAGGGTAGGTCAGATCCTTTCTCCATCTCTCTGGGAAGGCTGAGAACACACCCTGCTTCAAGAACGGCACCGAGGGTATGCATGTTTGCCTCTACATGCCACTCACTCATCTATTTACCTCATGCCTCTTTACACAGAAAAGCTTTTTGAAGAGCTTGCCAAGATTTCTGCCAGGTGGCATCGTAAGTGAATTTCACCACAGCTGAGAGCCTGACAAGCTCTGCTGGACAGACACAGCAGGAAAATAGGGTACTTCTAACGTATCTATATATTTGTAAATATTTATCTTAAGCCTTCTTGCCTTAATAGATTTCAAAGGCAGCAGCAGCATGGCACACACTCCTACCTGGCGCTTCCCCCGCCTGCCCCTGCCCGCAGGCTCCTCCTGGAGCAGTGCCCCGGCAGCCCAGAGAGCGGCTCTGCGCTTCGGGCAGCGCCGCTCCACCACAACCACTTCTCCTCCTCTTCTTCATCCCTCCCGCCCCTTTTCACCCTCCTCAAACCTGCGGCCACTTGAGCCGGGCGGGGCAGCTCCGCCCCGCCTGGGTGCGGGGCCCGGGGCGAGCTGGCTGCTCACGGTTTCCCGAGGAGCCGGCATGGAAACGGACTCGTTCCTCGGAGTGAGTAAAGCAGTGGCGAGGGAGAGGAGGCAGGGACGGAGGGAGGGAGGGATGCGGCTCCTGGCGGGGTTCAGCGGCGGAGGCCTGGTCCCCACCGCCCTGAGGGGCTGGCAGGCCGCTCCTCGCCGGGGCTCGGGCACTGCTCCTCACAGGGGTTCCTGTGACTCCCGTGAGGGTTTTTTTAGCTTCTGGGTCGGCTGTAGCACATGTTTTACTGATGTCATCACGAGTCGTTCTTTAATTATATCTGCCTCCCGGAACTGCGTTGGCCGGGGTTTGGCCGTGTCCCAGCGCTCGGGGCCGGCGGGGCGCAGCCGCTGCGGGCGAGGGACAGTCCCGATGCTCTCGGTGTCCTGGGGCTGGAGGATGGTGATCTCCAGAGGCTTTACACGTCTGCATGTTTTACTGCTTGTTTATTGCGTGTGTCACGGTAAAGTCCTCAAAATGTAATCGCTGCCTGTAGGCAGAGCACCCAGGGCAGGTCAGGCGGCTGATGCGAGCGGGGGGAGCGAGGGTGGTTGGGGCGGGCTGCTCCTGACTGCAAGCCAAGTGCCCGCCAGAGTCTCTCTATCACTCCCCTGCTCAGGGAAGGGGAGAGAAAAATGTAATGAAAAGCTCACAGTCCGAGATAAGGACAGGGAGAGATCCCTCACCAGGTACCATCACTAAAAAAGGGAAAGCAGACTCGATTTGAATTCATTACCAATAAAATCAGAGTAAGGTAATGAGAAATAATCAGCAAATCTTAGAACACCTACTGCCCACTCCTCCATTCTCCCAGGGTGCAACTTCACTGATGATTTCCTGATTACCTGCAGTGGCACAGGGGGATGTGGAATGGGGGCTGAGGTCAGTTCATCAAATATTGTCTCTGCTAATCCTTCCTCCCCAGGGGGAGGACTCCTCACACTTTTCTGCTCCAGCATGGTCCCTCCTATGGGAAACAGTCCTCCACAAATTTCTCCAACATCAGTCCTTCCCAAGAGCTGCAGTTCTTTGTGATCTGCTTCAATGTGCGAGCGGTCCATAGGGTCACAAGTCCTGTCAGCAAACCTGCTCCAGTGTGGGCTCCTCTCTCCATGAGACCACAGATCTTGCCAGAAGCCTGCTCCCACATGGGCTACCCATAGGATCACATTCCCCTTTGGGCATTCACCAGCTCTAGTGTGGGACCCTCCATAGGCTGCAGGTGGAGGACTCTGCTCCAGAATGGATCTCTGTGAGCTGCAGGGGCCCAGCTGCCTCACCATGGTCTTTTCCATGGGCTGCAGGTGAATCTCTGCTCCAGTGCCTGGAGCACCTCCTGCCCCTCCGTCTGCACTGGCCGTGGTGTCTGCAGAGTTGTCTCTCTCATATATTCTTACTCCTCTTTTCCTGGCTGCTGCTGCACAGCAACTTTTCCTCCCTTCTTGAACCTGTTACCCCAGAGGCTCTACCACTGTTGTTGATGGGCTCAGCCTTGCCCCGCCTTGGAGCCAGCTGGCATTGCCTCTGTTCTACCCAGGGAGAGGTTCTGGCAGCTTCTCACAGGAATCAGCTCTATAGATTCCCTCCCTATCAAAGTCTTGCCATGCAAACCCAACACAGTAGTTTATCACAGTACTGTGTGTAGGGTAGACTTACCTGTCTGAAAAGGGGAATAAAGAAGCAGTTCTTATTTGTGAAGTTTAGGATTTGGTCATGAGAGACAGCAGCTAATGGCTGCAGTTTCATTTCTCCAAGTAAGCCTTGGTTTCTCCCTAAAGGTTGCCCATCAAACACAAGGCAGCAGCTGAGTTTAGAGGTGAACATCTAGGGCTTTGCATTGTATAGGAGAGCAGGACAAACCCTGGTCCAGTCAGTTTTGTACAGGACTTGATAAGCAGAGGGCCATGGTGCAGTTCCTGCCAGGCACTGCCAGTGGCTGCCATCCCCAGTCACAGGGTACTGTGGAAGGAGAGGAAGAGGAGAAGAAGATGTGCATCTCTCACACGTCAGTGTTTGCAGGACTGCAGCATGTCTTGGTCTTTGCTGTTTCTGCTCTCTGCTGGCTTTCCTCAGGCCCAGAAGGACACTCTGTGAAGTGTCCTGGTCCTGCAGAGGCTGGGACATCGATGGCAGCTGTGCTGCCTGTGGGCTCTGGCTGGACAATGCCAAGGGATCTCTTGTACAGCTCAGTAAAGGCAAATGCAGGGCTTGATGCCTCTGCAGGGACTCCTGAGCATGTGCAATCCTGCCTCTATGGTGAACTGGAGAAAGGGACCAGCATGGCAGAAACACAGCTTTTTTTTCTGTCAGCTGTGAGGCTGTGCCTGTGTTAGCCCAAGCAAAGCACTGAGAGCACATGGCAGGAGGAGAGTGGCAGCAGGCAAACCTGCACCCTTGGATGCATCCTGGGGGTGCTGTCAGTGCAAAGGAGCCTGTGCCAGGACAAGGTGTGACCACCTGGCAGGGCTTAAGGGTCTTGCTATGGGTCCCTGGGCTGATGGGTGCCTGCTCTGGGGGAGTGTGGGTGGCTTTGGGGTATTGGAGAGCCCCAAAGGCTCTGGAAAGGGAGCTGCAAACCTCCCTGCTCAAAAGAGGAAAAGCAACGCTTGTAGTCAGGTCTCTAGTCTGCATACAGGACCTGCATAAGTGCTGCCATATGTTGGGGTGTTGCAGTCTCAGAGCTCCTGTCAGATTCAGAGCTGGAGAAGAAGAGAGACCATCCAGTCTTTATAAACAGAAATGCTTTTTTAAGCACCTGCAGCCCCTGCCCACGCTGATGCTCCTTGGTACAGAGGGTAGAGCAGAGCAGCTGTGGGTGAGCAGTGGTGTGCAGTGTGATGAAGCATGAAACAGAAAAAGGTGACAAAATGAGCTGCAGACATCTGTTGTCTGAACAAGGGTCTGTGGAGGACAGAAGCTCATAATATTAAAGTGCAAAGGATCTGCCTGAGAACTGAATATTTTCCAGAATAAGAACAGCTGATGTGGCACATAGAGACCATTTGTTTCTTTCAATTCAAAGAAGCACCGAAGGCATAGCAAGGCAGGCTAGGCAGGTGATACTTTGTACATTGGCTATATAAAAGCAGATTGTATTTTTTTGTGTTGTATGGACATAAAACTTAGGAATGCAATCCCTAAAGTTGCCTTTTAGATGGCCCTATGTGACTGTCAAAAGAAAAAAAAAATCCATCGCACCATGTTTAAGGAAATGTTCTTGATATAAGCACTCTGGCTCTCCAGTGTATTAGGAAAAAAGCCAACCTCCTCCTAGGAGAAACAATCTTGAATGAATATGCTAAGATGCAGAAAAAGGGACCAGAGACCAGTGAGGGTGTTTGCAGAGTACAAAACCTTAAAAATATGTATCTGACTGTGATTGCTGTAGCAGACAAGAAGGAATAATTTACATTGGCAGCTTTTAAAAAAAGGCATTAAAAGGAAGCTGTGATATCTGGTAGTATATTGGCAGTCATTGTGCCATGACTGTGCCAAGAGAAACTCTCCCACTAGCTGTGACAAAATAAAGCCTTGAAAGCAGGGAAGAGAAGGAAGGCTCTAATCCCCAGACCACCACCTGAACTAGAAACTTCATAGGGAAAAAAAACCCACAAAACTTATTTTGAGAGCTTATTTTTGTGTTCTGCATAATCCAGGAGATCTTAAAATGAAAAATGAACAGGATAACTCTAGCAGGCCCTGGTGATGGCATGATTTCTCATCTGGTCTCCTCCACTGGCACTCCTGCATGACCACTGCAAATTTTGCAGAAGATCCCAGAGAAGAACAGTTCCAGAGTAGTTTCAAGAAGGTCAGACCAAACTGAAATACCTATGATCCTGGACTCAATAGGGGCGATAAACACATCTTTGGTGTTCTCCAAAGCAGGAATAAGGAGTGGAAAATTTTCCTCTTTGACCCCAGATGCTGGCATGACCTGCAAATCCAGTGTCCTGACATCTTTGTAAAGGCTTTTCATAGAGGTACTCCTGTGGCACCTGGTTGGATCCTTCAAAGTAAGTTCTCTAGGGACCTGAGGATAGCAGACCCGGTGTTGCCATTGGTGCCATTGCTGTGCTCCTGGGACTGCAGAGTGTAAAGGAATGGACACAGTTTCACACTGGAGGGAGGTAGTCCTTGTGGTTTCACAATAGCCAGTACAGACAGCAATTTCTCCATACCAATGAAACCATGTATATTTGTCTTGGCTTGATTTTTTCTTTCACTTGGTCAGTTTACAAACCTGAAGCTGGAATCCACCCTTTGGCATTGTGCTGGGAGACAGTGTTATCAAAAGCAGCATATGTTGTGGCTGACAAGCTCTTGACATTTTTCTGCAGCTACTTGAGGGAAGGGTTGGCATTTTTTAACATCTAGAAATTCTTCCTGCACAGGTGCAATGTCATTAATTCAACAGCAGTATATGGAATGGTTTATTGTTTTTCTTTTCTTTTTCCCTCCCAGGACACCCTATGAAGTCCCAGAGCACATACCAATGGAAGGCCCTTTGCAAACCTTCGTTCACGTGTGCCATGAAAATGGTCAGTGGATGTCACAGTTACCAGAGAAGCTCTGGGATATTCCCCTCTATAACTTAGCTCTTCCAGGTAAAGATCAGCTTTTTTTTCTCCACTGTTTTGTTAGCTTGCCACTTAAGCATTGGAATATCCTGTTTGTCCCATTTCAGGATGGCTATGTTTATTATTTGGGCCAGTGTGTGGGGGAGGTTTTGTGTGATGTTATGTGAATAATGTTGGTCTGTAATGTTTGGGGTTTCTTAGAGGGGAGGGGTAAAAAGGAATTTTTTGTTGTTTTTTTAGAAGGGAAAAGAAAGAGGCACTTTGCATTATCTTGTGAGATACTATCAATAATCTAAGGATTAATTTAT